ATAGTCACTGATTAACGTTCACTTCTCTGATTTAGTCGTAAATAATTTTCTTAATTAGAATGAAATCACATATTAATTATTTTCACTGAACTATGAGCAAATTTTCGCTAAAACCCCACCGTAAATGGTTATCGTTCGTATGTAACTCATGTGGAAGGAAAGCGGCGTGGCGTGTGACGTAAAGCCTCATATAAATTTTACTATAGGCACATTAATGTCGCTACGTGAAATTGATTTGCAAGCAGAAACATATTATGATTGTGAAAAACGAGGTTTACGATTTATTTACACAACACGATATCCATTTTATTAGTATTACTATCAATGTTAGCGGTCTGCATTGCCTTCGCGAAAATCACTAATAACTTTAATAAATTAAATTAAATCTGAATCTATTTTTATGATTTAATCTCGGATTTACTGTTTTTACCTCAATCTTTAGTTACCCACTACCGTAAAACTGTAAACTATTCGAAACATCAGAAATTATAAAATGAAAAGATTATACGTTAAAAGTAATTTTAACCTATCTATCTAAAACTAGAAACTCGCGAATATCGAAAATAAAAACTCAATAAGTTAACTTATCTAAATGGAAAAATTATTGGGAGCCGTAACGATAAATAATGATTACAGTAACATTGTTGAAGAGCTATGAACTTTTAATTTGATTTGAAGGCGACGCGTATATGCAGAAATCAACTGACGTATCGATTGCAACAAATAGGTCTGAGTCTGAGAATGCGGTATGATATCTTTATAGCCAATACGTTCATAGCTGCGATTGTACTTTGTTTTCAAGATGCATATTATACGGGCCGCATTTGCATACGAAGTTTCCGAAACATTAAACTATTTAAGTTGCATTGTACCAAGAGAAAAATCAAGAACGAATTAATGCAAATAACTTCGATCACGGCGAAGCTGATTACGAAATCGAAGTCACTCAAATAGAAAACGAGGTTCCTCAATGCAAAGATGGAAGGTTAAGAAATCCAATCTCTGTCGGACAATAGCAGTGATAACCCGAAAGTACTCTGAAGGTTGATGAAAATGTGATTGTTAATTAAAGTTGACACAGAAATGCAAGTGGTGGATTCGGAATCTTCGTTTATTCGGTCACGGTGTGCCTCTCGCGTTTACCATTAAATGATTGGCTCTGTTTCAATTTCATCTAACACGAATGCGGAGGTTGAACGAATCGGTACACGATTATGTGATTGTGAAAGAATTTTATACTTTACCCCATAACGGTGTCTATGTCGAGCTTAGTATGTGATTATGGGCCCAACAGAAGAGTCTTGTGCTCGCCATGAATAAAACTAGTGAGTATAAAAGTTGTATCAAGTTAGCCTAGTGACTGATATCTTGTTGTTCCCTGTAGGTTTTGTTCGACATACGTCTACCTCCCAAGTAGGTCTTTGTTGAAATTAAGTTGAGCATGTTCGAAAAGTGCTTCCGGACGATTACTCACAAATGTGTGTTTGAATTTGTTGTTAACTTCAGCTCCTTTTGCGTTAATAGCGTTACAATATTTGCGAATTCTATTACGCCATTGTACGCTTGAGTTTCTTCATTGTGCACTTATTGTAGACCTTTTTATTGTGCTTCTGAATTGACAGTATCTGTTGCTCATATAATAGATGCTGCGAATGCACATACACGTATATGATGTATATGGATATAATATACGTCCATTGTAAAAAATACTAATGTTCAATAATAACGTAATATGAATTTCTTATCTGATTTACCTACTTTAGATTTATTCATCAAAATTATTTTAACTTTTAACGGTATTGATTTGCTTATAATATAACTTTCGTTTATTTTGGGCGCAAGAATAATTAATTATAATATTATAAAGAGGAAAGATTTGTTTGTTTGTTTGTTTCGAATCGGCTCCGGAACTACTGGACCGATTTGAAAAATTCTTTTTCCATTAGAAGCCGACATTGTCCTTGATGAACATAGGCTACTTTTTTATTTATTTATTTTTTTTGGTTTCATGTGTGTTTTAATGTTCCCGAAGCGAAGCGAGGGCGGGTCGCTAGTAATTAAATACACTTGCACGGTTTGATGAAAATGTTAATGAAGTGATACATTATAGGAAAACCACCCACATTTGTATAGCGACGTTATGCGTCATAAATATTTCGGTAACATAAAATTAACACTCAAAAACATGGGCTTTTGAGGCACCGTAACGTCTACGGACATCCACAAAAAATAAGAGGATCGCTTGCAGAACCTTGTCCCGACTTGCCACGCACCAACAAAGATACTTTTATTTTAAAATAGCCTCTAAGATCATAAGCTCTAAGAGCATATTCTAATAAAAACATCGAGAATCAGGAATTTTGTTTTCCTCATAATACTTTACTCAAGATTATAACCGTATGTTTTAAGTGTTATGGTTTAATTTACAATATTATGGCAAACACGCATCTCGGTTTGTGGTGGTATCAAAGGACACACTTGTTGACATGTTGTCTAATTGATCGGTGGTACCCAGCAGGGAACCGAAGACCGACACGTTGCGGGACCTTTGAGGATTCATTTGAAATTGATAATCTATAAATGAGATTGGGCAGGTCAAGTGGAATATGCCACTGTAATGCATTTTTAGTGATGATAGGGAATTATGTCAATCAAAACGTCAAAGCTTGATATAAAGGTTTATTTCGTAGTACAATGATTAAATAATACTAGAATTATTTGTAAGATTGTATTATTAGTTTTTTGTTCAATAGAAAAGAGAAAATTGTTTTCACATATTAAACATATGTTGTGTGAACTAATATAGTTAATTAGCTTCAAAGTAAATCTATACAAATCTATTCTATTGTATCTATTAGACGTTCCATCATATTATCCGGTGCTTCAGAACGATAACTTAATTAACATTCGCGGAACCCATCTTGATAAAGAGTTAATTAAATTTTTGACGACTTTCTTTTCGTTACGGGAAATAAAAAAAACAAATCATCGGCTTGATGAGAATTAGCGCGATATGGGGGGCTCCGATCGAAGAGTTACATCATTGTACTTAATATTTCTTGCATCGTGCAACAGAAGCCGACAGAACGGATACAAATCGAAATAAAAAAGGCAACAAATAGTTTAAGTGTTATCGTTTATGGTCTACCGCACTTGTGCTAAAAGAAATTGGATACTTTTGCTCGAAAACACTGGCACCGAGTCGTAAAATTACGATTGAGGTCTCTGTGCGAATTTGTGTGTGTGTGTGTTTTTAAATCCTTTTAAAGTTGGTGAATTAATTTATTATAATTTTTTAATTTAGTAATACATATATTAGAATTTACTATCGTTATAATTATTTATTATACAACGAATTAGGTATATGGATCGAGTATATTCACTCGGTTAACGGAATGGGATAAATAATATTAGAAAATCGTAGGTTATATAAAAAAGAAAAGTTTCCGAGATATAATAGAAACGTTAGTTAGTTTTAAGTCGTCGTGGCCTAAAGGATAAGACGTCCGGTGCATTCGTATGTAGCGATGCACCGGTGTTCGAATCTCGCAGGCGGGTACAAATTTTTCTAATGAAATACGTACTCAACAAATGTTCACGATTGACTTCCACGGTGAAGGAATAACATCGTGTAATAAAAATGAAACCCGCAAAAATTATAATTTGCGTAATCACTGGTGGTAGGACCTCTTGGGAGTCCACACGGGTAGGTACCACCACCCCGCCTATTTCCGCCGTGAAGCAGTAATGCGTTTCGGTTCGAAGGGTGGGGTAGCCGTTGTAACTATACTGAGACCTTGGAACTTATGTCTCGAGGTGGGTGGCGCATTTACGTTGTAGATGTCTATGGGCTCCAGTAACCACTTAACAACAGGTGGGCTGTGAGCTCGTCCACCCATCTAAGCAATAAAAAAGAAAGTTATTTAGAAATTTTATAAATAAATATTTTGAGTGAACGTTTGGCATTACTCTGAGTTTTTTAGTTTATCACTTTTTTATTATTATTCGTATGTATTTTGTTAAAATTAAATGGCAATTTGTTTTGGCGATTGTTAACATTGTCTTTGTGTGAGAATTCAGGTAGAAAGAAGGGTTAATTCAGTATGTGTTTGTGATATCTGCTTGTGCTTTAAATAGTTGTCTGAAACTTACTTAATTCAAATAATAATAACTAATGAGCCTATAATGAAAACTATTTTACTGCTTACACTCGGGATTATTATTTTCATTTTATGATTTCTCGCGTTTCGAATATTTACTACTACTTATACTAATACGTGGTCACGAAAGACTAAGGTCTGATGCGACCACATTTGAATATTGTGATAACTACTACCGAAATTTCTATGGTCTATGTATGTAATGATGATGAAAACAGCGACCACAAGATTAAGCCGTAAAACCAGTTCAAATTCTGTAATACTAAAAGGAGCCTAATTTAAATTTCAGCTGTGAATACAATGTTTTTATAATATATATTTTTTAATTTTTTTTCATTTACTTCAGATTTTGCATCCATATTACATTCATTAACATTTCATATAGTATACCAGAATTAAATGAAAATAATAACTACAGTTTCGGAATAAAACAAAAGCAATCATAATAATAATAAAACAAAAAAAATAATCAAATAATAATAATAACAAAAACTCAAAATTAACGTCGAAAATTACCTTAACCTAAAGGCTGGTTTGGATCCAGAGTGCTCAACATGCACACGTGTCCAGTGTTGCATTATTGGGCAGTCCAGATCCATCCTTGAGGCGAACAGCCGTAATACGTGGTCACGAAAGACTAAGGTCTGTTTCAACCATATTTAAATATTGTAATAACTACTGTCGAATTTTCTATGGTCTATGTATGTAATGATGATGAAAACAGCGAACACAAAATTAAGCCGTAAAAGCGGTTCAAATTCTGTAATACTAAAAGGAGCCTAACTTAAATTTCAATTGGAAATGCAATATTGTATATTATAAAGCTTCGGACATTTGCAGGGCAAGGTCGCATGAATCAACTCGGTGGAGTCTTCATCAATGGTCGTCCACTACCAAATCACATCAGATTGAAGATCGTTGAAATGGCAGCGGCGGGTGTGCGGCCTTGTGTCATCTCGCGACAACTACGCGTCTCACACGGTTGTGTTTCCAAGATACTCAACAGATATCAAGTATGGAAATATGTTCTACTATGGCAGCAAAAGTGTAGTTGATAAGCATTGCGAGCTAGTTCACACAAAGTGAATACCCATCCTGAGATACGTGGTGGACGTCTCAATTGTATTAATATGTCTAGCCTCAAAAACAGATAGGATAGTGGTGCCTATCCGCTTGCTGTAAAGTCTAAAGGATAAGACGTCCGGTGCATTCGTATCTAGCGATGTAACGGTCTTCGTATCCCGCAGTCAAGCACCAATTTTTGTAAAGAAATATGTATCTAACAAATGTTCACGATTGACTTCCACGGTGAAGGAATAACGTCGTGTAATAAATCGCAAAAACTACAATTTGCGTAATTACTGGTGGTAGAACGTCTTGTGAGTCAGCGCGGTAACCACCACCCTGCCTATTTCTGCCGTGAAGCAGTAATGCGTTTCGGTTTGAAGGGTGGGGTAGCCTTGTACTATTCTGAGACCGTAGAACTCATATCTCAAGGTGGGTGGCGACATTTACGTTGTATAGTCTATGGGCTATTAATAAAAAAGAGTATCCTGGTGAGCACTACTCTGCCCATTCTCCGATGAATCCCTTGGTCACCTTTTACGATTATCACCGGAAGAGGCGGGCTCGTGCTTTTCTCTGCCATCTCACAGTCAGGTTGCTAACATTAATGTTTTTTTTTATCCCAAAGTAGGAAAAACGCATAAATATATTTAGGTGACTTTTTATACGCTTAGCTACCAACTAAGGTACATTTTCGCTGGTTTGAACATCATAGCACGATGTTTTCATCTTTAACATAGAAATATTATTAACTGGTGTAGAAATTACGTAGGTATACCCGACTATGCCTGTATTTGATAACGGTGCGATACGACGATGTGGTAGCCCTTGTACTATATAATTGAGATTTGGACCTCATGTCTCAAGGTACTCAATTTAATTCATCGGCATTCACATTATAATGTTATGAGTTTCGGTAACCATTTAACATCGGGTAGAAGGGGACTTTATGGAACGCAAAAATTTTTTTTAAAAAATTCGCTCATCTTACCCATTACAAATACGTTTTTCATTGTTGCAGGAAACTGGCTCTATTCGTCCTGGTGTAATTGGTGGATCGAAACCGCGAGTCGCAACTCCTGAAGTTGAAAACAGGATCGAAGAACTGAAGAGACAAAACCCAGGTATATTCTCCTGGGAAATTAGAGATAAACTAATAAAAGAAGGAATCTGTGATAAAAACACTGCACCGTCCGTGAGTTCTATTTCGAGACTCATAAGAGGAGGCAAAAGGGACGAAACTGATCCTAGAAGGAATCACAGCATTGATGGAATTCTAGGTAAGTTTAACCGTGGTTTAACTTACCTTGAATTTGTTTGAAATAAACTTACCCTTTGACATTATCCTCGTTCCAATTTCTCTTGCGAAATTCATAATCACGAACTTTTCAGATTCAGTAGTGCAGTGAGCATTAAAACGGACCGTATAATTGTTTGTTTTAGCACTTAACCCACTGACGCGAGAACCCGCGTACAAAGTATTTGTTTGCGTAAACTCTATAGTACGAGATTGCTATAGTTCAATAAGTATTTTATTCCGACGATATTGTAGTAAATAAAATACGATGCTTATTTCAAAGGTTATATTTTTATTATCTAAGGTTACTAAATGAGCTCATGGCCAACTAAAAAGCAAGAGGTTCCTAGAATGTACCATCTTGTAAATGCTCTCATCGAGTTGTAAGAAAATAGTACGCATAAAACGTTTACTTTAAACCAACTATGTATTATTTGGATCCACGTCACAATCGGTATTAAAGTATCTTAACAATAATCGCTTGATACTGCAAAAGGAACAATCATTTATCCATTAATTAGAATATCGACGCATTTGCAAACTTTGCAAAACAGCGTATAAAGTTAATAATGTACGTAAAACTGTAGCGGGAAAGACGCACGCGCACGCCACTGCAGAGCCCTTTGTGTCGGCTTCAAAATTGTAGGTTATAAAAATGAAATTAGTATCCAAAGGTGTTATTATCCCATCGCGTTTGGCCGCAGGGCTTGCATTACGACAATCTGTCCGTACTGCACGTCTTGTACTGTATATCTATCCTATATAAAATGGCGCTCCTAATATCCCGGTTCAGTGACGAAGCGAGCTTATACCGCCAAGATTCTGCGCATCGATAAGATTATGCATATTAAGTTGTGCGCGGGCAAAGTAATATCTACACTGGAAAAGCGGCCCCTTTAAGCTTTCGTTGGAAACGGAACATTTGCGCAAACTCTATGCCTGCAATTAGCTGTGTTTTTGGGTCCTGTTAATTTCCGGGAAATGTTTGCATATCGTTGATAAAATTGCTTAGTCAGTCCGTATTTAATCCCTTTTGAATTGTGAAGCATACATAACGCCCCTGTTTATACTCAGTAAAACGAAACGTGGGCTGATGTTGAATTTAAAATACAAATCATACTCATAAAATATTTTAAGAACGACATCACCTCTCAGTAATCTACTTCTATTTCATTATCAACTAGCACAAAGTAATATTTATTAAGGCTCAAAAGAATTCATTTGTGGTTACTATAGACGTAATGTAATGTGGTCACATCTAATTTAATCGAGGCCGCGTGTGGTCTGTGCGGTAGTCCGGCGTTAATGGATTTAAAACAAAACAAAATGTGACACAAGAAAGATACATTAAACATTATTTCGATGACAATCATTTTCGTAATGAGCTGTGGCGGCTCTTGACTTTTACTTTTCATAAAATCATTTATGCTGAAAGCATTGTGACAAATATTATGTTATTATATATATAAATCTCGTGTCACAATGTTTGTCCTCAATGGACTCCTAAACCACTTAACCGATTATAATAAAATTCGCACACCATGTGCAGTTCGATCCAACTTGAGAGATAGGATAGTTTAAATCTCAAATTATAGTCGCAATTTTATATAAGTCAGTAATTTTTTTTCTACACTAGAAATTCTCTAGAAATCTTATATATGGCAAGACAACGTTTGCCGGGTCAGCTAGTGTTATTATATAGTAAAATGTTCAAGTAGTTATAGTGGCCTAAATATACATAATGGTATGTAGCATCAAATTCACTTCATCTCAAAAGGTCCGTCATCTTGTGAAGACTCAGATACAGAATCGGAACCAGGTATCCCGTTGAAAAGAAAGCAACGAAGATCCAGAACCACCTTCTCTGGTGATCAGCTCGAGGCTTTAGAACGCGCATTCACCAGGACCCAGTACCCTGACGTATATACAAGAGAAGAGCTAGCGCAGAAGACTAAATTGACTGAAGCTAGGGTACAGGTGAGACAGATGTAAAGTTCGTTTCTACTTAAAACCAGTAAGGCGTGTCGATGATAGATGGATGCAATCAAACAATCCTATTGTTATATCACGCTTACTACCCGCCCCATTGAAATTACTACGTGAAAATATAATTACGGCCATAATTAATTAACCCACTGTCTGTCTGTGCTACCACATGTTACAGTATGCTACTGTTCTTAAGTATGTTTTTTTCGGTTAAATAATCTTAATGTGAATCCAATAAACTAAGAGGTTATTTTAAACTACAATGGATTGGACAAATTGAGTTTGTGTTTATTACAAAACTATCAAAAGATCTTTAAACTCTCACAAATTCAAATCGATTTTAATGAATTATTCGAGTCTCAATTGAGGTCTGATCAAATCAGGACAGGGATTCAAAACAACGAAATTGAATTTTGTTTATATCTTCTTCTATTGGTTTTGTGGAGATTAATTGATTTGTTTTATCTTTTGTTTAGGTTTGGTTTTCAAATCGAAGAGCCCGACTCCGTAAACAACTAAATTCCCAACAATTAAGTGCTTTCAACACGATGTCGTTACAATCCGCCTTCCCATCAGTCCATCAACAATATGAACCGCCTACATCATTTAATCCTCAGTGCACATCATGGCAACCGTCATATTCTTCTGCATTGGGATCAAGTTCAGTATTAAATTCCGCTTTGGCTCCGTCCTTACATCAAACGGCATTAACCGCCCCTTCCGTTTGCCAGTCGGCTTTAGCAGCATCATCTTTACATCCGCCAACTTCATCATCCTTTTCTTCTGGTAATTTAACGCCATTATCGCATTCGTCTGATCTTACCGCTTCCTTGCAACCACCTCCTGAGACAACTCCTCCTAGTTCAAGTCCGGTTACTACCAGTCCTTCAGCCAATCAGTCAAGCGCGATAACCTACCCGCACTCTTCGTACGCCACTAATGATGCCGTGACACATCCATACGGCTATGGAGATTATTCGAAACAAGAGCACGCTATGTCTGCGCACAATCATTGGACTTCAAGACAACTCAGTGGACACGCACAAAACAAACTCGGGGAAGTAGGCTCTTGGCCTGAAAATTATAGGTGAGTCATTTGACGTAAAGCGTGTTTTGTTTATGGTATTATTACAAATTAAGCTCGTTTATAATCCCTGACTAAGAAGCTATATGAATTATTGATATCCAGATGCTCATATTTCGCGTTCAATTGTACAGATGAATATGCAATTACTTTAAACTGACCTTTGGTGCTTACATTTTGAATAACCTTTTATTAATATGACTCAACTGTTACACTACTAATAGTAGGTTTAGGGTTTTAATTTTCCATGAGATCACACTGTGTTAGTCAATGCTTGTTACTGATTGTGACATATCTAAATGGTTCTAATTTCGTCGATGAACAGTGTTCTAGGCTATTAAATCTGCATCGAAGGTATAGCTTCCGTCAATTATCATCGTTGCAGATTCGTTTGAAAATTAGTGGATATTATTTTGTTTCTTTCACCTTACTTTATCATTAGCCAAACCGACCGCTAATCAATTAAGAGAGTAAGCAGGCGGCCATTATACCCGCCCGAGTAGTTATTACAGAATACGCTTCGCAATACATCGATCTGATCGTGAATGGAATAGGGTTGCGAATTTATGAACCGTTCGACGATTAATTATATTTTTGTTCTTTTACTGTGGCCGTGCCAACGTCATTAATTTGAAAGTTGTTATAGAAAGATGTAATAGAGTGAGTGAGATCATAGAATCTACTAAACTACAACAAATTTGTCGCGTGTGAATGTGTCAAATACATTGTCGCATTGTACTGTATACGGTGAGGCATTTATCAGTGTTATCGAGACAAAGCGAGACTATAAACCTGGTATTGGACCACACACAATATCCTTGCTTACACAATGACGTACGAAATAATAATATATATGTGTTAGCTACGTCGAAATGTCGGTTGGTACGCCTTTACGCCGCTTGATTGACGTAACCATTCGACCTGACTCTATTTTTCCTTTTGTTTCCTAAAATTCCTAGACAATTATTGAGTACCGACGACAAAAAAGAAACGAAAATTCACGTATTTTAATTTAACGTATTACTAATCCAGGTTATGTAATTGAACAATGAACATAAATTGATGTTGGTATGACATTTTGAAATATGGAGAAAAGTGCATTATTGCGCACACACACAAAAACAATTAAAACTGACATTACTAACAGTACAATGCGAAGATAAACACGAGTTTCTTTGTAGCTGTGCGGTTATTAATGAGAGGGCAAACGTGACATTAGTACGGCGAACCTGCACATTAGACTAACACGAACCCGGTATTAAAACTTATCTGCAGCTATTTGCATTTAACTTCCTAAACAGCGTTCGCTTACCTACGTGTTCGCACAAAGAAGCTTGCTTCCTAAGATCTGCGGGATTAACGAGGTAGTCTTCAACGAAAATATGTTTGTATTCAGAAAAACGGTCAACGATCCGATTTGACGGGTGGGATAGTCGTTACACAATACGATTGGGACTTCGATTGGTTCAAGATATGTGGCTGTTCTCCTACCTAGCTATGCTGATAGCCTTGAGAGGCTATATCAGCTTCGCCCTAACATGTAGGTGAGCTCACGGGGTTCAAACCGGAGTGATGCTAACACTGGCCCTAGCAAGGGCAGTGCATCGCAGAATCTACCACCGGATCGGAAACGCGACCCACTGAGAAGATCCGGCGAGAAACTCAATGGGCATGTGGCTGTGTTGAGGTTGTAATCTCTATAAGCATTTGGTTCTAAGTGGACAATGAGTTCATAAGCCCACTGAAACATTGAAAATTCCAGCAAATGTTAATTTCGTTAGTCAAAAAAATGGTGCATGTCAACTAAGCCTTCGATTCCAATTTTGAATATTTTCTGTAGAGCTGCTGGTAGGACCTCTTGTGAGTCCGCGCGGGTAGGTACCACCGCCTTGCCTATTTCTGCCGTGAAGCAGTAATGCGTTTCGGTTTGAAGGGTAGGGCAGCCGTTGTAACTATAATTGAGACCTTAGAACTTATATCTCAAGGTGGGTGGCGCATTTACGTTGCAGATGTCTATGGGCTCCAGTAACCACTTAACACCAGGCGGGCTGTGAGCTCGTCGACCCACCTAAGCAATAAAACAAAAAGCTCTCAGGAAATATGCATTCACAATTTCCATAATTATTGGGTGTTAAAAACAGCATTGTGTTGTGAATTCTGTGTGACAAAATTAAAAATGTTTAAAACCCAAAATTACTTACAGCTCAAAACAGTAAATAAGCAGGAACTTAATAACTGACGTTCAAATTAAAAACCAAGCAAAATAAATAAAACAGGCCATGAACTTAAGCTTAAGAGAATAATAAAGCGTAATGGATTAATCGTAATATTTTTGTTACATTCGACCTTGGTGGTTTACCCATTGTGCGGCAAATGGACCATAATAATCTATGCGAGCGAATTAAATGTCTATTAACATTTTATTGCATGGTCAGTCACGATGTACTTCCGAATACAGTAGATACAAATTTAATTATATGATTCTTAAAACCATTGGAGAAGTTACAAAATTTTGACACATTTATTTTCCTTCCTACCTAATCACTGGTAAAAAATTACTAACAGTAGTCCCAGTAAGAGCAGTGCTTCGCTGAATCTACCATCGGATCGCGACCCACTGAGAAGATCTGGCAAGAAACTCAGTGGGTTGTGTCTTTGGCCTAGGTCGTTCGTCACCTTCGATGAGTTCGTCGAGAACGGTGACCAGTGCTTGAAGCGCCAAGCGTCCAGCAGGATCCGATAAGACATGCTTAGGACGATGACGGCATTTCGTTGCCCCATCGTCTGGGTCGGTTATAAAATTAGAGGCCGCCACCATTAGAAGGTTATCGTGTCGTGCTGCTTTTTCGCTCATTTATCTGATACTGATTGTCTCAAGTCTATCAATGTTCGGAGCACTGTTCATAACTAGGCGAAGATCTTTTTGTCTATGATTAAAACTAGGGAAACAAACTGCGGTAAATGAGTAAGGTTCGTTCCTTAAATAATATGTGCACATTATAAGAATAATCTGGTCACATTTAAATGAACAACGAGAGATGATGATGAAGAGTTTTGTCAGCTAATTTTTAGCAGCAAACCGTTTTTGAGGCAAGAACAAAAAGTGAGCTGAAAAACATATTACGTAAACATTTTAACCGACTTCAAAATAAAAGGAGGTTCTCAATTCGACTGTATGTTCTTTTTATGTTTGTTACCTCATAGTTTTTGACCGGGTGAATAGATTTTGATGATTCTTTTTTTATTAGAAAGCCGACGCTGTCCGCGTGGTCCCAATTTAGTCCAGTTCTGATAATGGTATCCACGATAAAACCATATAAGTCTTAAATTTGCATTAAGTACGTGCGCGACAAATAGATGAATAACTAAATATCTTGATATCACGCCAACCGATTTCAATAATTACTGTTTTTAGTGTATATTAATTTGTTTTGGAATATCTTTTTTTTTCTATTTACAATTATTATTATTTCGTAACGAATGAAGACTGGTTCATGAACTAGTCACACACTAAGCTAATTTCGGTAGCCGCACTATAAAAGTATTCATTACAACGGAATTCACTATTAAAGGCTCCTCTATAATTATTTATGTTAATGCACACTATAGTTTTGATGACGTCAGTTTTCGATGGCTATTGTTGTTTGCTTTCGATAGTTTCCCACGGGTAAGAACAGTTAAGCTCATCTTTAGGATATTAGGCTGCTGCTGTGCGATCGATAATAACAGTTATTTTGGCAATAGGAATGTTTGTTGTTCTCGAAAATTTCAAATAGATCTGGTGTTCTAAATGTATTTCAGATAAATAGGGTTTAGTTTGGATTTAAATTTGTAATGTAATAGTTTGAACTGTGTTTTCAAACTGTAAAAAGGCATTTGTGTTGTTTGTAGTTTACAAATTTGAATTTAAAACAAAATTGACACGAGCGTTAGAATGTGTTATTTCGTTATCTTGTTTTGCAGAAACAATTCGTTTCCCGAATTTCCCCAAAGTGTATATTTAGATCATCCTTATTGACAAACACATTTTCTGTTGTTACAGTACATTCTTCGGAACGAACCCATCACACTATGCATCTCACGCGCACTCGCCCACCGAGGCCAAATCTGGCTACCCCTATTTGGGTCAACTCGGTGGTATGGATATGGGCAGAGTACACTAACACTTCGCATTATTGTATAAAAATATTTTTTTGTCTATACAAACCGTCCTATATGTACAAAATCATATCTTAATGTGCCTTCGAATCGATCTTAACAATATTAAACGTCAATATCATATCATTTACAATGCCTTTGTTCTATATTGGTAGATGACGACGAGTCCAAGTCCCCCAAGTGATGTAAGAATTAATTAGTATTACCCTTGGTTGTATTATAGAGCTTTATCGAAATGTCGTTCATAGGTTTAATGTAATTATAACTTTATTAATGGTTCCTGAAGTTAATTAGATTATACCGGATCCTTTTGTGTGTAGTTAAGCTGTTATTATATTTTGTAAGTTGTTGAATGTTACTTATTTGTGAATCATCAAGTGTAATGTGGTTTTATATCGATTATATCATTGTATAAATATTCAGATTAGTGCATTATAATTATGTAGTTGACAAAACTGGAAGAGAGCTCATCGTTGTATTTTCTTCGGTTTTCTCAAAGCGTAGATGTAATTAAAATTACTTCAACGGTTTTATCACGTATCTATTGATTCCGATGTTCATCGTTTGTGTGGTCACGGAGAAATAAATTGTGCTATGTCAATGGTAAAAAAAAATAAGAGACGTAATATTGAATGTAAAAAAGTAATTTTAATTATGAATTAAACATATTATAACTTTGGAGTTTGACATTCAATTTTGACAACTACATTTCAACTTCACGATTATGCCTTGAGTGAAGTGTTGTGATTACGAAACATTGTATTTATTTATACTATTACGTAGTTTAAGTATTATAAGCACACTGTATATTCTAAGTTTACCTATCAAAAATAAATGATAATTATAATATGTGTTGTTTCATTTCAAGTGTGTAGTTACGTACAAAAAAAGGGAATATCTACATTTTAATAATTTGGAAAATATTATGTAAGTAATGTCTTCAAACAATTAGTAATTATTTCAAAGTAAATATTAATTAACTCTTCATTACGAGTTGCTTACTGAATTATACAGAAGGCCCAAGCTCACGGCTCATCCCTGTCCTGACTTTCCTTTTTTTTTATCCTACCTAAGCTGATAGCCTTGAGAGGCTACTTCAGCGTAACCTTAACTAGTAGATGAGCTCACGCTGCTCAAATCTGACAACGCTGCTAACACGAACCCTAGCAAGAGCCGTGCTTCGCAGAATCTACCACCGGATCGGAAACGCGACCCACTGAGAAGATCCGGAGAGAAACTCAGTGGACTGTCTGTGTATTAATTTACTCGTCGAGCCCTTCGTCACAAGCGACGGGTTCGACGAGAACGATGACCGGTGACTTTCCTTTGAAGCCAAGCGCGCGACTATCTCACGACAAAAATATGCGGGAGCAGGATAAGCTCTACCAGTAATCACGCAAATTCCGAAATTTTCGGGGTTGACCACAAGTAAACGACGTTGTTCCTTCATCGTGATAGTTTTGTGAAGATGTGCAAGGTACGTATGTACTTAGAAAATTGTTACTTGTCGGCTGGTTCAAAATTGAATCGGGTAGAAGGTTTTTTTTAGTATTGAAGGATTAGGTGGCCTGAATGCCTTTCCAGTTTCACCAGGCAAAGGCTCAGCCAAGAGAAGGAGACCTAACAACTCAAGAGCAGCAGCTTCGCGAATGAATCTACTACCGGATCGGAATCGCGACCCACTGAGAAGATTCGGCGAGAAACTCAGCGAGCTGATGCATGAGTTAGGTTGCACGAGTACGGTTACCGGAGTCGAAGGTTGGGTGCCAAGAGTACTTTATATGCATGTTTTGTTTTAAAACACCACCCTATCACATACCTGATAGGAACAAATTGATGACACTTCAGAGTGTGTTATTTTTTGTAGAATAATACCTAGCATTGCAGTTCCAACCGGTTACAATGTATATCGTATATTATTTTAATAATTCAATTTTGAATTTGTGATTAAACTAAATACTATTACTATACCTAAGTGTATGTAACTAGTCTGCCCATAAATACTGTTATATAAAAACTTTTTTTTTTTTCAACTCTTTAATTATTTTGAATTTGGAACATGTATATTCTTTTAAAAACTTATTTAGATTTTGTGCCATTTCACATATTTTTTCGTGTTCATTATCAAATTACAATATAGGGTGGGGTGTTAAAGAAAATAGGATTGCAGTGATCGCCTTGCACAAAGTGGGTATGGAGCCGTCGGTCATATTCGAAACACTTCAAATGCTTTGTATCAGCCGTAGGTTCGTATATCGTACTATCAACAGATACAACAACAGTTCGTCTGTAAAAGACCAGAAAAGATCGGGACGACCGTGTGCTGTTAGGACTACAAAGGCTGTTATTGCTGTTAAAGCTAGAATTCGTCGAAACCCCATTAGGAAGCAAAAAATCTTATCGCGAGAAATGAAGATTCCTGCTAAGAATCTGACGTGTATTATAAAACAAGACCTGAAGCTCGATGCTTATCATCGATATACAGGACATGCCTTAAATCAATATGTACAATTAAAGAGAATGGATCGATCAAAACGCCTTCTGTCGCGATACGCAGGTGAAAGGCACAGAAATATGAGGATATTTTCGGGATAGGATTTTGAGGATAGGAGGATAAATTGATTATATTTACCGATGAAAAAAATTTCATGATTGAAGAACACTATAGTAAGCAAAATGATAAAGTGTACGCTCACACTTATAAAAAAGCTGCTCAAGTGGTCAAAAAGGTACAACGTGGTCATCATCCTGCGTCAGTAATGGTTTGGTGGGGTGTGTCTTATCAAGGAGTCATAAAACTACATTTTTGTAAAAAAGAAGCGAAAACTTTAGCCAAAGTGTACCCAGATACAGTCTTGGATCATGTTGTGAAAAATCTTGGCAATACACTTTTTAAACATATACCGTGGAATTTCCAGCAGGACTTTGCACCTGGTCACGAGACACGAACTTTCCAAGCCTGGCTTGAAACCAACGTTTCGGGCTTTATAAGAGCTGAAGACTAGCCCTCATCTAGCCCAGACCTCAACTCTTTAAGCTTTAAGTTATGGTCAGTTTTAGAGCTCATGGCCTGCTTTAAACGACACGGCGACATTGAGTCTCTTGAAAAATCTTTGGAGCAGCCAGTGGCGAAATTTCCGTTAAAAACAGTGCGTAAATTCATAGATTCGTGGCCAAACAGATTAAAGGCCTGTATAGAAGCCAAAGAAGGCCACTTAAAAAAAAAAATTTTTTTTTGCTGATCTTTTAATAAATATTTATTTATTTATTTTGGAAACCAACATTACAATACAAACATATAATATTTTAAAAAATAGTTAAAACAATAACCAAACATGTTTTCACTATCAAAATCACATATGAGTAGAAAGTGAACAGACAAGAGAAATTTAGAAATTTAAGTTTACACAAGAAAAAACAAGAGCTAAAACAAAAGCATATTACATTACTTCATTTAAAAAAAATGAATTTTCATTTGAACAGACCTTATGGCTGGGCTATGTATTTATATCTTGTTGAAACGGATTAGTGTTGAATTATATTTAATAGGTAAAGGACCTTCACGGATTGTCGGTTCGGTACACTATTTATCATAGAAAAGCGCTCTCGGGAATCGTTTTTGACGATCCCGAATTGTGCCTTTTTATTATCACATTAACCGCCGTCTGCCGTCAGGGCAGAATTCACACATATTGCCCGAAACTACAATATTAAATGACAGTGATTTTTAGAGGGTTAAGTGTTACGTTAGGCCATAGACATCTACTACGTAAACACCGCCACACACATGCGGACTCAAAAGACATGCTACCACGAGTAAATTATAAATATCAGCAAAAACAATATGTGATACAAAATAAAAACGTTAACGAGTCCGGAATAAATTCTCTGGTAACCAAACCAAAGAGAGTATCCCTTTACAATTAGGTTTGAATTACATTGGGTATGTTTCGATACACGGTCAAATTGTACAGAGTTCTGAGTCCGACGCTTATCCACACGTCGACTGCACGCGGTAGGTATTGCTCTATAGCCAAGGCCTCGTTCCAAAGGTAGGTATTCTTACTATTGTTGCCATGTTCAATACTTTATAGTGGTTTGTTACTTTAACGTCACTATTATTGTTCTACGTCTAGTGTGCAGAGGCGGATTATCCGTAAGGCAAACTAGGCACGTGCCTAGAGGCGTGTAGTTAGAAAGGGCGCGAGAGCTCAGAATTTTTAAATAAATAAAGAAAATAAAATATCGACGATTATGAACTAAATGCTGATCTAAATGTATAATAGATTATATTGCACAAGCATCGATATACTCGTATTATGCGTATACTCGTATATAATAGGATCTACGCGGGTGAAATCGCGGGACATTCTCTAGTGATATATTCATAACACACCATCATCTGTCAACAAACATATACATTAAGGCTATTCTACTATACTATTTCCCATAGCAGAGAGGAATCATGAATTTCGATGTTCGTTCTGTCGTCCCTCTTGATTTCTTCACAGTTATAACGTCATAAATGGCTTTATACTATAAATAAGCAAGGACCGGTCAGTTCACAACACCCTTTACTTCAAGACATGCATTACAGGTAAAAGTAAAGGAATTCTTGGTACGAAGTAAGATCCTCACACTGGTGGAAGTGGTAATAGTTGTCGAATATTCCATTATTGCAAGCGAGCCAGGCTTCTATGTACCCATTTATACAATTAATGAATAAGTATTTCAACTATACTTAAGTCAGGACATTTAGCAAAATGAATGAAATTAATCTATTTTCGTCCTTATAAGTTTTTATTTTTTTATAGCTTAGATGGGTGAATGAGCTCACGGTCCACCTGGTGTAAAGTGGTTACCGGAGTCTATAGACATATACAACGTAAATACCACCACCCACCTTGAAATATGAATTGTAAGGTCTGTCTTTTAACAGTACAACGTCTGCCCCGTCCTTCAAACCGAAACGCATTACTGCTTCACCGCTACCCGTGCGGACTCACAAGACGTCCTACCACCAGTAAGAAAGGTGAATTGTAATTGACGTCGATGACAAATTTTATTGCAAAATTTCGTTAGATAATGATAGGACCTGATAGGACGTAGTCAATAATAAATGCGTATTAAAAAAAATCGACCTTGTTATTGAAAACATGGGGCAGTTATAGTTACGAAAGTATTTTTTTATAAGAAGTCAATTAAAAATACGAAGTTAACAAAAACGAATCAATTTCTTTTAGTGCATTATGAGCATACATATGTATGTTCCTGTAAGAAGCGCTCCGCGGATTCACTCGCGTTACATTTGTAATCCAGAAAGAACGAAACACGTGGGGCTTTCCCAGGATAAAGTATTCGCTTATATGACTCTCTGGTTGATACTATATAACATATCAGTCAATTTGTAGATCCGTTGATACGTAAAATCACGAACAAAGGAACAAACAGACTACCGTACTGATATAGCGTATACATTATTATTATTACATTCACTTGGCGGAGTTTGAGCCCACTGAGTTTCTCGCCGGATCTTCTTAGTGGGTCGTCTTTCCGATCCGGTGGTAGATTC